GGTTGAACTGTTGGAGAAATGTCCGCGATTGCTGAATAATGGTGCGACACGAAGCCGGATTCACAATCTCGTGGGTGCACAAGGTCGCGGTCGTGGTGGCGTTGGGTTGCTGCAGGAGGTTGGCAGCCAACAGACCATTCATCACGGATCGTTTCGAAGCCGACATCAAGTTGAGGGTGAGCACCCCGCATTGAAGCTCGACCGAGAAGAACGCGGTCACGTCGTTGGCGGTCTGTGTGCCGAATTCACAAAAGACGTGGCCACCAACGAATGACCCAGCGCCCCGCCATGCATTGGGTAGCATCGCAAACGAATACGTGGGCATGATCGCCGAGTAGTTGTATTTGTGGACGTCGTCTCGCGCGAGAACTGTCGTGACGATTTGGTTCACGGAGTTGAACAGCGCCCGAACCGAAGGGGGGCACGGCACCCCCCGGACATCGATTGACCCAAACGGGCCCAGTATAGACCGCAGGGTGGCCATGTTTCGTCCGAGCACGGACGGCATGTAGCCGGCGCCGACGAGCACTTGCTCCATCGAGGTGTTTTCGAACGCATAGTTGCGACTGGCTCGCACAAACGACTTGCCCGACAGCAGCGAAGAATTCTCTCGCGTCGCAAGCAGATCGTTCGCCAAGCCCCAGTACATCTTGTACGTATATTGAGAAGCTAGCCTGAACGTGCCATTGGATTTCTTGATCGTGATCGGATACGAGATCCCAAATGCGTTGCGAATCGAGACAAACTCCATCACGCCTGGACGTTTAAAATTTTGCCACTGCGTCGCGTACGTGGTGATGCCTTTGGCCGTCCAAAGGTTGACTTCGTCCGCCACGGTCAGCGCATTCGTCTGGGTCGCTTGGAGCCATGCTTTGCCGTCGTTCGTTGCCCCAATCGGTGCAAAGACGGCAGTGTTCAGGTCGTCGCCCCAGCAACTCATCAAGTCATTCCATTGCGCATTTCGCAAGATCGACTCCAAGTACACTGCGCCATTCGTTTTTTCTGACAAGCAACGGGTTTGTTTGCCGGCCGAGTTTGCCATTTCCCACCGTCGGTCGAAGTCCACGTAACAGTAGGCGGAGAAAATCCACGGCACCTGACAGCCATCCATTTTCCTCAATCCCACAACGACGTTCGATAGCGAATGCGCTTCGTTTTCGATAGCCGTTGCATACAGTGGCGATGTTGCGATGGACGTCTTGGCAGCGCCGTACCAAGCGCCCGTGTCACCGTACAACACAGTGTCGATTTGAGTCGGTGCGACACGACTCGAAAGTTGGAGCTGCGACGTAAACACCATCGACAAATACGTCTGCGCGCCGGTTGTGTTGAATGTCGCCCACCAAAAGTCGTTGGCCATCGTGGATTCGGTGAGAATCAGGTAGCCATAACTTCCTGCCAACGTCATAGCAATGTAGCCTAGACCAACAATCGCCATAAACCGCATGATGCGCTGCTGGCGTGACTCCACAAACTCCTTTCCTGCCTGCGACTTTGTTCGAAAAGTCGGGTTTGGCAGGAGAAATAGGTCGGACGCGCTTCGCTTCTCGAGTGGAATATATCCCCACAGCTTGGCGTCAAAGAGGCCTGCGACCAGAGGAATCATCCCAGACATGACGCACGACACGTTGTCGAGCTGTGTCATCCGGTCGTTGGGACGGTGAACCAAGTACGACTGCGCCGCCATGGGGATGAGGAGGTGGTGCATGGCCGTTGTTGCCGTGCGAGTGCCGCTGCGTTGATGGCGGAAATGAGTCCATCCCACGGCACAGGCCGTGGCCACACCAACCGCGATCAAATGAATGACGCAAATCCACACGAGGCGCGTCGAGTTTCCAATGGTGAACGACCCGACCGAACACTCGATCATGTTGTCGACAGTGACGGCTTTGCATTTGGTGTCAATTGCGGCAGCGACCGCAACCGGGTCCGCGAGTTCCAGAATGACCACGACGAGCCACCCGACCAAGGCGCTGATGGGAGACAGCACCGCTGACAAGTCGCCAAGAAACGGTAAACAGAAATCGATGATGGTATAGCTGACCCACGTCGTCTCGCCCGCCAGCACGGCAATGTCCACGATCGACCGAGCCTCCAGCTGAAGATGGGAAAAGCCATGGGTTACAACGAACACCATGTTGGCCGTGCTGAGCATGACAACGGCGGTCATGCCTCGCAGGAGAAGGAAGGGCCGACCGATCCAGACCGACCCCACGACCCGATTGAACTGGAGCAGCTGCAGCCCGCCCAGTTGAAACCTTGCCACGGCTGCGTACCCGACCAAAACGACCGCGACCCCGCTCAAGGCAAACGTGACGTACGTTATGATGTACCGAACGTAGTTGCATGCATTTTGCGGCAACTCCAACGGGTTCGCGGCCAACGGAACGCTGCTCTTGCTTGGGGAGATGGTCGTGAACGCCCCTTCGTCGCCCTCGAACGTAAACACTTCTCGCTTGCCCTCGACCCACTCGTACATGGTAATCCACCCGTAGAACGACCACGCGTCCGACGCTGTTGTGATCCACGGCTGCACGAGCAGTTGGTCCGTTCCATTTA